GTCCCGCTGCCGCCACAGAGAGGACTGCCAAGAGAGTTACTTCAGCTCCGCAGAACAAACACAGAAATAAGTCTGTCTAAAAAGCATCTAGCGCTGTCGAAAATACACGTCTAAATATATCCCACTGCCATGGACTTAAATGTGTCCTTGTAACTGGCAGACATCGATTGAGCGAGTGCGGATTTAACCGAGCAAAACTGATACGGCCTTGAGAGAGTTTGTGCAGCGAGCGAAGCTGAACGTTTGCGGTCACGGAGTAACTCATTTGTTGTTAGTTCGAAGGCGCCTCAAACAAAAAAAAACGGCAGCTACATATGGCAACTGAGAACATGAGACTGGCTTTATATAAAACATTCAAAAATTTGTTCAAAAAGCTGCAAACGCTGTATTTTATTAATCAAACATAGTGGAACCTCAGGCTGAAACTATAAGCAAAACACTTTCGAGCCAAAATGCAGAACATATTGACAAACATCTTTGGCTCCAGGCGAGTTTCAGCTAGCGTAGCAGCCTGCGGGCTCACATGTGTTTGGCAGATGGCACCGAATGGATGGCACATAAGGTCAGAAAGAGCACTCAGCTGTATATCTCTCACACATACAGGCCCTCCAGGAATGTCTGCACAAGGCCAAGGATTATGGCACCGCGGTGTGTGTGTGTTTGTGCAGCCGCTTCTGTGTGTGTTTGCACTTGCTGATAAAGAGCAGGCCAACGTAAGAATTACGCCGACACCACCTCTGCTCTCGATCAGTAGTGTTTACCGTTCAACAGAAGGCTACGCGGCGGTTTTACTCTCAGATCACCAACTCTGTCGCTTTAACATCTGATCCAGTATGTTAAAGTTAGACGCCTCCATTTGTGTCACTGGTAATGCTATTTAACACGGCGTTACCTGGGAACCCAAGTGTTTTATAGCCAAAACATGTCTTCAGTTTTAATGGTGCAACCCAATTTAGTGAATCACAGGTTTGAAACTAGCAAAAAGTTACTGGGAACTATTATTAATTCATACTTAACATTTGTAATTCTATTTTATTATTTATTTAATTTACCATGGGGAGAGAAAGGGGGTATGACATATGGGGAGAGAGGGTGTCACAACGTGTTGCGGTTATGTAGCATGCACCCTAATGATGAGGCTACGAGCAGCTAGTGCAACCCATCCAGGGGCCGAGGAAGAGAGGGGAGCACCCGGGAGGGTTAACTTTGAGTTTAAACCAAAACAACAAAGTTTGTGCTGTAATTTGAAGAATGTCGCTTGAACCATTATTTACAGTCAACACGCTTACTATTGTTACGACTGCTGCCGTTCAACAGTTAAACTGATTAACTGATTGGATTACATCTTTTCTTTGCTCCGTAACAATAAGTGAGAGGTTGTGGCACCGTGTGTGTTCTTTCCTTCAGTAATTGTTTTAAACTCATTTCACATGGAGGCTAACCAAGTGTGATAATCAATAGCGAAGACTCCTTTTGTATTCACAGCTCGACATGTTTCTGTCACACCTCCGATGCCTAAAAACAAAGACTAAACAACTGGTAGAGACTTGCTTGTGTCGCCAAATAAAGACAAAACCACAACAAAACCCAAAAGCACTGTAAGAATAATGTCTCCTTCATTCATCATGGGCAGAGAGGTGTGCAGAGGATTTCCTTTGGCTGTTGATCTTTATCAATCGCTCTGGTCTACCTGACATAAACCTCTATGACGGCGCAGATAACGCCGCAGGAAATTCCCACAAAGATGTACGATGAAACACACCAGACGCATTACTGTGTATGCGCGTCCGTGTGTACGGGTGCCAAGGCCAACATGTGGAATGAGAATCACATGGATCTCCTGTGAACTATTAATTGGCAACTCGGAGACACGACAGATCGATCCGATCAGAGGGGGAACCGACACAATAAAATGACAGGTAGCTCTACGTGCCTTATTAGTACGTCAACAACAGGCCCATCCTCGCAGCCAGCAGTATCCATGCAGCATCACGGCAAAGTCGACCGAACGTGCGACGCCGTCGGGCCTACTTTGTTCGACAAGTGTCGGGGTTTTGGGGGGCTGCTGAGGGTGACCCCTTTATTGTTAGTTGCTCCCTTTGTGGTCGTACTCCTCACTGTACTGAGAAGGGTAAAAGAAAGGCCTTCTCCAACAGTCGGTCATGCCCCAGTGCTCCTGGCAACAACAGGTCCCGAGGACGCAGACCTGCCTGGCCTATATTGGCTTGGCTCGCAGCTAGTGGTGGCGGCGCTAGCCCCCTGTCAGCTGTCCCATTCAGGGCTGGGCCCGGCTCTTTATTAAAGCTTTGAAGACTGTTGAATAAAGGGGCGTCCCATGTTTAGGTGATAGAATGTAAGCAACTGGTTTTCTGCTTGGGCAACACGAGACAAAGAGCCTCCTTCTGAATATGGGGAGAACGTGAGAGAGAGAGAGAGAGAGAGAGAGAGAGAGAGAGAGAGAGAGAGAGAGAGAGAGAGAGAGAGAGAGAGAGAGAGAGAG